CGCATGCGAACACCCCCACTGGGGCCTTCGGTGGAGCTCCCTATGGGGCCACGAAACGCTGCCCTGGGTGGGGGAACGCATGCGAACTGCGCCACGGGGGCTTTCGGTGGAGCTCCCCATGGGGCCACGAAACGCTGCCCTGGGTGGGGGAACCGCATGCGAACACCCCCACTGGGGCCTTCGGTGGAGCTCCCTATGGGGCTACGAAACGCTGCCCTGGGTGGGGGAACCGCATGCGAACACCCCCACTGGGGCCTTCGGTGGAGCTCCCTATGGGGCCACGAAACGCTGCCCTGGGTGGGGGAACCGCATGCGAACACCCCCACTGGGGCCTTCGGTGGAGCTCCCTATGGGGCTACGAAACGCTGCCCTGGGTGGGGGAACCGCATGCGAACACCCCCACTGGGGCCTTCGGTGGAGCTCCCTATGGGGCCACGAAACGCTGCCCTGGGTGGGGGAACCGCATGCGAACACCCCCACTGGGGCCTTCGGTGGAGCTCCCTATGGGGCCACGAAACGCTGCCCTGGGTGGGGGAACCGCATGTGGACACCCCCACTGGGGCCTTCGGTGGAGCTCCCTATGGGGCCACGAAACGCTGCCCTGGGTGGGGGAACCGCATGTGGACACCCCCACTGGGGCCTTCGGTGGAGCTCCCTATGGGGCCACGAAACGCTGCCCTGGGTGGGGGAACCGCATGTGGACACCCCCACTGGGGCCTTCGGTGGAGCTCCCTATGGGGCCACGAAACGCTGCCCTGGGTGGGGGAACCGCATGCGAACACCCCCACTGGGGCCTTCGGTGGAGCTCCCTATGGGGCTACGAAACGCTGCCCTGGGTGGGGGAACCGCATGCGAACACCCCCACTGGGGCCTTCGGTGGAGCTCCCTATGGGGCCACGAAACGCTGCCCTGGGTGGGGGAACCGCATGCGAACACCCCCACTGGGGCCTTCGGTGGAGCTCCCTATGGGGCTACGAAACGCTGCCCTGGGTGGGGGAACCGCATGCGAACACCCCCACTGGGGCCTTCGGTGGAGCTCCCTATGGGGCCACGAAACGCTGCCCTGGGTGGGGGAACCGCATGTGGACACCCCCACTGGGGCCTTCGGTGGAGCTCCCTATGGGGCCACGAAACGCTGCCCTGGGTGGGGGAACCGCATGTGGACACCCCCACTGGGGCCTTCGGTGGAGCTCCCTATGGGGCCACGAAACGCTGCCCTGGGTGGGGGAACCGCATGTGGACACCCCCACTGGGGCCTTCGGTGGAGCTCCCTATGGGGCTACGAAACGCTGCCCTGGGTGGGGGAACCGCATGTGGACACCCCCACTGGGGCCTTCGGTGGAGCTCCCTATGGGGCCACGAAACGCTGCCCTGGGTGGGGGAACCGCATGTGGACACCCCCACTGGGGCCTTCGGTGGAGCTCCCTATGGGGCCACGAAACGCTGCCCTGGGTGGGGGAACCGCATGTGGACACCCCCACTGGGGCCTTCGGTGGAGCTCCCTATGGGGCCACGAAACGCTGCCCTGGGTGGGGGAACCGCATGTGGACACCCCCACTGGGGCCTTCGGTGGAGCTCCCTATGGTGGAGCATCGAGCTGGGGCCACGAAACGCTGCCCTGGGTGGGGGAACCGCATGCGAACACCCCCACTGGGGCCTTCGGTGGAGCTCCCTATGGGGCCACGAAACGCTGCCCTGGGTGGGGGAACCGCATGCGAACACCCCCACTGGGGCCTTCGGTGGAGCTCCCTATGGGGCTACGAAACGCTGCCCTGGGTGGGGGAACCGCATGCGAACACCCCCACTGGGGCCTTCGGTGGAGCTCCCTATGGGGCCACGAAACGCTGCCCTGGGTGGGGGAACCGCATGCACCCCCACTGGAAGGTGCCAACCGCATGGGGCCTTCGGTGGAGGGTATGGGGAGAAAAATGGTAGGAGAGCGTGAGAGGTGTGCCGAGAGCAGAGGCAAGGAGGGGGAGGAGGGAGGAGGGGGAAGAGGAGGAGAGGAGAGGACGCGGGCACCGTCTCTTCAAAACGAGGACCCAACACCACAGGATGGTTGGGAAAAACACATACATACATGCATCAACGCATACATACATACACGCATGCACACCTACACACATACAAACATACATACCTGCCACCACACATAAACACATACATAAACCTGTACATGCATGCGTGCATGCATGCATACATACACCCATACACACATACACACATACACATACACGCATACATACATACATACATACATACATACATACATACATACATACATGTATGCATGCATGCATGCATGCATGCATGCATGCATGCATTACATACATACATACATACATACATACATACATACATACATACATACATACATACATACTTTCATGACTTACATACATGCATGTAGAACCATCGCGCGCGCTTCGCGCGCGCTTAGGTTCTGGCTGATCGAGTGCTGACCGCATCGAGACAACAAGGCGGTCATGCATAATGAGGCCAACATTCTCTGCTTCCTCCTGCCTCTTCCTGATCCCTCGTCCTCCGCCCTCATCGACCGGTCGACCGGTGATCTGTCGCCAAGCTTCTTGGGGACCTCTTGGCCCCTCCTGGGGGTCTCCTGCGGCCTGCGGCCCACCCCGCCAGCGTGCCTGGGTTGTGGGTTAGAGGCCTCTTGGACGTTCCCTTGGAATTCGTGGGGGGGCTTCCCGGGGGGCCTCTTGAAGGCAGTTTTGGAGGCCTCTTGGGGTGCTCGTGGGTCGTCTCTCTGGGCCCCTTCGAGGCCTCGTGGGGCCTCGAGGGGGCCTCCCGGGGGCCTCTTGGGCTCTGTTGGGGGCCTATTGGGGCCTCCTGGAGGCCTCCTGGGGCAGAAGGCTCGAATTGTCATTGTCGGTTCGTGCTCCCCCTCTTGGGCCCCTCTTGGGGGCCCTTTTGGGCGATCTTGGGCGCCTCCAGGGCCGTCTTGGGGCACTCTTGGGCCGTCTTGGGACTCTCTTGCGCCGACGTGGCGCCATCTTTGGGTGCCTCTTGGGCCGTCTTATGCTGATTTCTGGTGCCTCTTGGGCCGTCTTGGACCGTCAGAAGCACGAAACAGCGAGAGCACGAAGAACCTTCAAAATACATGGAATAAGACATACTTGTTTCGCCTCCTGAGTGCCTCGTGGGGGTCCTTTTGTGCGCGTCTTGGCCGTCTTGAAGCCCTCTTGGGCTGTCTTCAAGCTGTGTTGGACCAATCTTGAAACGCTCTTGTGCGGTCTTGGGCTCTCTTGGAGCGCTCGTGGGCCATCTTGGCGCCCTCTTGGACGTCTCTCGGCCCCCTTTGACGTTTTTTGGCGCCCCCCACCGGGCCCGAAACGACCGGAAGACAAATCAGTGCACTTTGGGGGCCCTGGGACCCCCTAGCCATTCATAGATATAGAGATATGAATAGATAGATGTATACACAAATACATGCTCAAACAGACATACATGCATACGTCCTGGCATGCGTGCATGCATACATGCATGCGTACATGCATACAGCCATACATACAAACACATACAAACATACACACACATACATCCAGATTTGCATACATACATGCACACACGGACACCCATGCATACAGACATACATACATACATGCATGCATACATCCAAACAGACACCCATACATACATACATACACGTTGTCAGGCCAGCATACATACACACGTTAATGCATGCATGCATACATGCACACATACACACATGCATAAACATACATATATACATACAGGCATACAGGCACAAATGCATACATACCTACCTCCCTGCCTACATACACACATATACACACAGTGGCACTCACATACCTACGTACATACATACATGCGTGCATGCATGCATGCATACACACAAGCATACATACATACACATCGATACGTACACAAAGCAACAACACATACATGCATACATACATATATACATTCATGCACACATACACACACATACACATACAATCCTGCCTACACACATGCACTCATGCATGCATACATATGTACATGCTTACGAACATGCAACCGAACACACATACATAAATACGTACGTACGTACATGCGCACACACATGCACGCATGCATGCACACATACATTCATCATACACACACATGCACCCGTAAATACATACATACTTACGTACGCATATACATACAAACATGCACATACACATACACATACGAACATACATGCAGACATTGACATACATACATAAATACGTGCAACCATGGATAGATGCATACACACATGCACACACATAGATACCGTCATGCATTCATACATGCACACATTCATACATACACATACACATACATACATACATACATGCATGTGTACGCATACACACATACAGTCGTACATACAGACGTACATACACATACATGCATGCATGCACAACCATATGCATGTATGCATGCATGCATGCATGAAAGCATATACGCATATACATACATACACATACACATACACCTACTCATGCATGTACATGCATGCATGCATGCATCAACTCATGCAGACATACATACATACATACTTACATACATACATACATGCATGCATACATACATACATTACGTTACATCGCATTACATTACATCGCATTACATTACATTACATTACATTACAGTACATTACATACCATTACATGACACACATACATACATATATACATACGTGCATGTACGTATGCACACATGCATACATGCAGACACATACACACATACATACAATGCACACACGTACACACATGCATGCTTACCCACATCATACATACATACAGACAGACAGACAACATACATATCGAGAGACAGACAGAAATGCATGTATATACACATACATACACATACGCACATCGCACACCATAACATGCTAGAACAAACTGCTCGGGGCCCATGCTGGCAACCGTTTACGCTCACGCATCTCACATGTTGCTACTCGAGCGGTGGCGGCACTGGCGACGGCGGCGGCGGCGGCGAAGAACCGCCTGCTCCGCTGCGCGACGCCTCGGGCCGACCCTGGCGTCGGCTGCGCCGCGCCGCCCGGGGAGCCCGCCCTCGCGGCCGCCGCCGCCGCCTCTCAGGGGACTAAAGTATCGCGCGTTGCTTAATGTGGGGGGGAGAGGGGGAAAACAAAAAACTACATAAACCTAAACTTTTGGCGCTACGCGCGGATTCCTTGGATCCGCGCTTGACCCCCCTCCCTGGCGCGCGGAGCGCGCCAGGGGCGGCGCCAGAGGCGCCGCCAGAGGGGCCCAGCGCAGATCCAAGAAATCCGCGCGGAGCGCCGGAGGCTATGTTTATGGTGTTCTTTCTGCTTCGATAACGGTTGTCTTGTGCGAGCGATAGGACAAACCATTCTCGTGTGCAGCAGAGACGAACGAAGTATACTACAGTCGGCCTGGATTGGACAGGACACGCGAGAGGACACAAGACCCTTCCGAGGGCCACATCGCCATCGGAGTGTAAGAAGGCACGTGTCGCGAGGCACAGGACACAAGGGGACCCTTGAGCTGGCAGGGTCGACCTACTAATCCGAGCCGAGTGTACAAACTGTGAGCTGACACATGCAACACTGACCTGCTAAGGCGCAGAGAAGACACAAGGCAGGCTGCAAAGGGGGGGGGAGGGAGGGACAGTGGGGGGGGGAGCGGAGCGGCAGGGGCAAACACTGAGTGAATGCCTCCTGCCTTACACCTCAGCTTAGGTCGGGCGTGTCCCCCAACAGGCGGGCCTTGGGCGAAACATTGAAAATATTCGAACAATACCCCAGAGTAGCCCCAAAAAATCAAAAGATAGACCCGCCAATTGTTGACTATGTTTGAATATTCCTCCTGTAGAGGGACAGGCCCGACTTACACCTAAGCCTCAAGACAGTCACTGAAAACGCAGAAACCATGGACAGATCTCCTGCGCGCAGCCCTCAGTCCGCTACGCCGCGGCCGGGAGGGCATCTCCCGAAGTCCTCCCCCCATCTTCGCAGACGGCGGGCACGAAGGACTCCGGTACGAGTGCGGGACTCATTGGCGGAGGAATAAACGAGCGCGTTCCACTACCTCGCAAATGTCCTGGATCCGCCGCGGGGGATCTACGATAGATCTCATCGAAGCGGACATATGTTTTTCGGGCGTTTGCGAATAGGCACTTTGCGAGTAGTGGAACGCGCTTGGTGAAGGAAGCCTCCTCGCGCTGGGTGGGGACAGAGGTGCGCTTCTCGGATCCTACAGGCCCCCTTTGGGCCCCAGAGGGCCCATTTTCATCAGCCCTCGCTGCCCTCGAGAGGAAAGGACCTGGACCCCGTCGCATTGCGGACAAAATCACGACGGGAAACGCTTCGTCGTGTTCGGCCTCGGGACCGTCAAGGAGACGACTCGGGATGAAGAACCCGGTCCCGGGGCAGGGGTCCAGACCGCTGGGGATCGACGCTGAGAAAACATCACGACGTCGGGGTCTGGGGAGGTACCGACGCCGCTGCCCCTGGGGCCTCTCCAGGGGCGCGCCCTGGCCAAAGGCGATCCCAGCGGCGGCAGCGGAGTAAGGGCAGCGGTTCCGGTGCCAGCCGAGCGCGCTCCCCTGTGCTCGCAGAGCAGAGACTCGCCAGTGGCCCGGATCCGTAGCGGGGCACTCAATATCCACTTCACAGGGGCAAGCACGTGCTTCTCGAGCAGTTGCGAGCAGGCACTCTGCGAGCAGCGGAACGCACTCGGTCGGGTACCGATTACCCGTCGGTCGGAATAGGTGGGGTAGAAGTATGCGGTGGGAAGGCGTTGGAAATAGGTTGGGTTTCCGTCCGCCACCAGAGGAAGAGGGAATGGCTCTTGAACTAGGGAGGCGGCTGTAAAGTAGATTGGCATCCGAGACTCCAGAAGTAATAATGAACGTGTTCTTATTCGGCGTTTCGACAGTGGGCAGAAGGGGTGGAGGGGGGATGAGGTCTGGCTCTGGACCTCTGCTTGGCGCGACTGCTTGCAACAGTGGGTCCCGCGGGGGAGTCTCCACCTGCTCGAACCAGGCGTCAAAAACAAACAAAATTTACTCCGTGGGGGAGGCGTATAAGGGAACGAAGAATGACATACACACAAAAACTCGGAGGTCCGCGCGGATTTCTCGGATCCGCGCTGGGCACCCCTGGCGGCGCCGCCCTGGCGCGCGGAGCGCGCCAGGGAGGGAGGTCCAGCGCCGATCCGGGAAATCCGTGCGGACCTCAGAGTGTTTTATGTTCCTGCCATTCTTCGTTCCCCTAGCGAGGGCCCGCGCCGATCGGAAAAGCAAAGAATAAGAAAACGACGACGGACCTACTTCTGGCGACCAGCGGCTGCTCCTCTGAGACTCTGCCCCGCCGCGCGCGCGCGCGCCTGCCGGGAGACCCCGCCCCTCGCCGTCGCTCGGACGTCCGGTCCCCGTGCACGCTTTTCGACTTCGTGCGTGCTTCTACGGGCGAGATGGTCCAGGATGCTCCTCGATGGCCCTCGCCGAGAATAAAAAGCACACGTCCGAGCGATCAGGAAAAGAAACAACGGCAGAAACAGAAACTTTTGGCGCTCCGCGCGGTTTGCTTGGATGTGCGCCGGACCCCCCCTCCCTGGCGCGCGGAGCGCGCCAGGGGCGGTGCCGGAGGCGCCGCCCGGGGGTGCCCCGGGCGCCGATCCAAGGAACCCGCGCGGAGCGCCAAAAGGTTCTGTCTTACGCCGCTCTTTCTCCGCCGCTCCTCGAGGGGCCTCGCCGAGGGGCAAACGCACGCATCCGAGCGATGCCGAGGCCCGCCGCGCGGGCGCCCGCCCGGGGGGCCCGCCCTCGGCGCCGGGCCCGCGCGGCCGCCGCCGTCCGCCCGCGCGCCGGGCGGGGCCTCTCGCGGGGGGCGGCGCGCGGGCCGCGTCGGTCGGCGGCGGCCGCGGCCCGGCGGCGGCGGCGGCCGCGGCGGCGGCTGGCCGCGGCCGCTGGCGGCGGCGGGGGCCGCGGCGGCGGCTGGCGGCGGCGGCGGCTGGCGGCGGCGGCTGGCGGCGGCCGCCGCGACGGCCTGCGACTGCGACTGCGACAGCGACCCGCCTGGCGCACCCGGCAGGTGCCGCAGGATTGACTGCCTACCAGACCATCCCAACCCCCAACCCGAAGACCCGAATTTCGGGTTGGGGGGGGTACGGGCTCCAGATGTGTTTTTTCTATGTTCCCCGATCCCCCCCCCACTGGAAACAGAGGGCAAGTGGAGGCCTTCGGGTTGGGTTGGGGTGGTTTGGTTGGTGGTGAGGGCTGGGGCCTAGGCGCCCACAGAAAACATCACTCGTGTCGGCTTACACAGCATCTCTTCGAGATAGCTCCACGCATCCTGGGCGGCCACCGCGACGACGGCGGCGGCGCCGGCGACGGCGGGCTGGGGCCTCGCGCACGGGGCTCCAGCCACACTGCAGGACCTCCTCCACCTCCTGCCGGAGCGCCTCGATGAAGTCCTGCGAGAGAAGGTCCTAGGGCAGGCTTGAGACAGATCGAATCGAGAATTCGGATCGGATAGGGATCGGATCGGATCGCCGACGAATCGCCCCGAGTGGAACCGAAATCGGAGCGCCGCGCCGAACTTTGGCTGGCCCGACCGATGCTGGTGAATCGAGCCACATCGAATCGGAATCGCGGGCCCAGTCAGCGAGTCGAATCATATCGCAGGCGGCCCTGTGAGAGGGGAAAGCAGGCCCACGTCGCGATGGCATCGACGTTAAACCGACAGACATCGCGCGACGGGCTCAGCCTGGAACGACCGCGGCTCTCCCCGATACGTATAGGGCACCTCGTTCGATGCCAGCCGCTTCTGGGCTCCTCCTCCTCCTCCTCCTCTTCCTCGTCCCCCTCCTCCTCCTCCCCCTCCTCCTTCTCCTCCTCCTCCCTTGATCCTCCTCCTCCTCCTCCTCCTCCTCCTCCTCCTCCTCCTCCTCCTCCTCCTAACCAGCGGCACTCGACCCTGAAAGCCCGCGCTGGGATCGTCGAGTCGGCGCGGCGCGAACGGGTCCCTTGCTTACGCGATCGCCCGCCGGGTGGGGGGGGCGGCGGCCTGGAATCGGCGATGCACTGTGGACAGAACAGCGCCGGGCCCGCCGAAAGAGGAGCGAGACGCTCTCACTGGCGAGGAGGGGCACCGGGGCCCCGAGCAGCGGGCGAGTGTGGAGCACTGCTGTGCCTCCCGAGCCGATCTCATGTGATGTCTCCAGAGCTCTGCGCGGACCTCTCGGGGAAGCCCTGTGGGGGTCCCCGGAGGTCTCCCGCGGAGGCTTGGACCCAGAGCCGAGTTCTACGCAGGTCTTCGAGGGCTTCCAGGGGGCAAAGGGATGGCTCCACACGCACGCATACACACACACAACACACACTCGGCGGCGAGCCCAAGGGGGGAAGGCTCGGAAAACATCCGGCGTTCTGAAAAAATGCCTTCTCCGCAGACACTAACGGCTTCTCAGGAGCCCCACTGTCTGCTCAGAAGGCCCGATCTCTCTCACTCCCCCCTCGGGCTCGCCACTGACACACACACACATATACACATATACACATGCTCAGACACAGACATACACGCACACACACATTCACGTGTTCCCTCTGAAGCGCTGAAGAGGCCAGGCAGAGGTTCATGATAAGCCTCCGCGTGGGAAGCCGCGGAGCCGTTTGACCCTCCTGCGAGAAGGCGCGTAGGCGCCCCCGGGCGCGAGAGCAGGGCTATGCGAGGCAAACTAAGACACACACACACACAAGCACACACACACACACACGCACGCACGCACGCACGCACACGCACACGCACACGCACACACGCACACGCACACATACGCACACACACAATCCCCAACGGGATCGAACACCTGCAAAGCAACCGCCGTGGCCTCTGGCACATGAAGGCGCCGTAGAATACCTAGTGCTGTCTCTTGCCACACTCACCCGTACACACACACACACACACACACACACACACACACACACACACACACGCATACACACACCTTCCGAGGCTCCCTGAGCGGCGCGACGCCTTCCTGGCGCTCTCCAAGGCTCTCCGATGTTTCCAAGACAGCTGAAGGCCGCCAACGGCGAAAATACGAGCCATCC